CCCCCCCTTTTCCCTTCTCTCCAGATAATCAACCTCAGGCAGATCCAGGAGGTGTTCAACCAGTTCCGGGTGGTGCTGAGGTGAGGAGAGGCCTGCCCCCCACCCCAAGTCAGGCTTCCCTTTTCATCCCCCCCCTCCCCTGGCTGCCAAGCACCCGCCTCCAAGGCCACTCAGAGGAGCCAGAGCGGGGGCTCCGGGGTGTGCCAAGGCCTCTGGTGCCCCTGCCTGCTGATGAGCTGTCTGGTCCTTCTGTCCTCGCTTCCCAGGGTGAAGGTGGTGGCAATGTGGGGGACACCAGTCCACTGGAAGGCCACTCAGGAAGGGGATGATTCCTGGGGTTGTTTACCAAGGGCATCAGTTGGGCAGAGGTCTTTCTGAGTGCCAGCCTTGAGGGTAGTGGGTGCAGGACATCAGGCAACTCCCCACCATGCTCCTGAGAAGGTGGTGCCGCCAGAATCAGTCACTGGACTCCAAGGAGCCCGTTAGAGACAGAACCCAGGTGCTGGCTGGTGGACCTGAGGCAGCTTAGACCAGCATACCTTGCCCCTCTCCCCTGCCCCGCTCCCTTCACTGTACTGTGCTTCACCAACACAGTGTTTGACTTCACAGCCTGTGTCACGAGTCCACAGCCAGCGCTTTTCCCACAGCGCGTACTCCTCATGTGTCATGTGGTAGTCATCCTCGCCGTTGCACACTTAACAGGCTAGAGCAGAGTGCACACATAACTTTTATTTGCGCTGGGAAACGCAAAAGTTTTGTTTGCCTCACCTTATTGCGACTGTCGCTTTATTGCGATGGTCCACCTGATTTGGGGGCCTTGAACCGACAGTATCTCTGAGGTAAGCCTGTAATCCTTGCAGGTGCTCCTGATGCCCGCAGGAGTCCCTGCAGGTGGGAGTGTGAGATAAGAGGATGTGTTTTGGAGGTCCGGTAGGGAGGAGCGCATTTTGTCTCTTTCCGCTGGTCTAGAGGCTCCAGGAGCAGATTTCGAACCCTGGAACTTGGTTCTTGCCCCAGTGGGGTCAGCTTGGCCCCAAATGCAAGGTGTTCTAACACTTTTTCTCCCAAGCCAACAGGAACAGGAAGTGGAGTCCAATTTGCGCAGGAAGTACACACTCATAGACAAGAATGACTTTGCAGCCATCTCGGTGGTGCAGAAGGTACGGGTAGACTGCCGCTTGCCGGGAATACGCTTCGCAGCTTTCCCCTCCCAGGCTGTTTCAGAAGCAGCAAGCATCCCTTCTTAGAGCAGAGCTAGGATCCCTGGTGGCATTGTGGGCTGCTAACCATAAGGTCAGCTGTTCGAAACCAGAACAAAAAGGCTTTCTACGCCCATAAAGAGTTAGTCAGGGGCAGTTCCACCCTAATCTACAGGGCCGCTATGCGTCAGAAACAACTCAATGGCAGTGAGTTTGCTTTGGTTTTGAGGTGCCCTGCTGGCAGTGCTGTCTGATCGGCGTTGGACTGCTAACTGAAAAGTGGATGGTTCAAACTCACCCACTGCTTCTCCAGAGAACGTCGAAGCTATCTGGTCCCATGAAGATTTACAGCCTGTTGAGGGTCGCTAGGAGTTGGTACCAAGTGCTGATGGCATTGAGTTTTCAGGGTTGCCACAGATGACAGTAACACCGAGCTGAGCGTGACCTCGTTAGGGAAGAATGATTTCAATGTGTAGGACTGCTGGCCGCAAGGTTGACAGCTCCAGCCGATAGCTGCTTCATGGGAAAGGAGAGGTGGTGTGCTCTCCAAAAGATTTACAGCCTGAGAACCTGAGATAGGGTCGCCGGGGCTCAGATTTGACCCATCGGCAGTGGATGGGTGGTGGTGGACTAGCAATACAACCGACTCCCGGAGCTGGGTCAGAAACAGAACACAGAACTGAAGATCCTTGGGTCACAGAATGAGCCTCCAGGCCAGTGAAGAGTGGTCAGGAGGCAGCTTGGTCAGGGACAGGCTGAAGCCAGCAACGGCAGCCAGAGCTCAGTGGGTCAGATATACACCGCTCATGTGGAGCCTTCGGTCCCTACACACTGGGGTGGTGTTTGAACAGACTCGCCCAAGGGGCCCAAACCCTCATGCTAGCTGATGATCCTGAGCTGGCCTCTCCATCCAGGCAGGGCTCGTGGATTCTGACGGGCATATGGTGGGCGAGCCCGATGGACAGAGCTTTGGCTTGGGAATCGCCCCTTACTCTATCAAACCCGGGAAGAAATCCAAATCCAAAAAGGCCTTCAAAGAGCTGCCCAGGTGAGTGACCTGCTTGCTCCGCACACTCCTCCCGTTCAGAGGAGAGCGAGGACACGAGCTGTCCCTTGTGTTTCAGCCACTGGGTGGCCACCGTGGGTCTCCCTGCTGCCAACCCTGGCCATGTCTGCAGGATGCAGAGCGTGCCTGGTTCCGAACCAGCTGTATGACCCCCAGGTGTGCCCCTCACCCTCATAGCAGCTCCACCAGGTGGCAGTTACGGTCTGTATGATGCTAAAGAGCAAAAGAGGCCGAGAGAGGCGTTACCTTGCCTGCCAGGCCATTCCACCAAGGTGTGGCAGAGTCTTGGCAAGAAGCCAGCAGCAACACTCCAGAGTTGGGTCCTCCAGTGGCCCGTAGGGTTCCCTTCCCCTAGCCAGCCCGCCCACCCCCATGGTGTGGTCTTCTCCTGAGCCAGTAATCGGCGCTCAGACCTCGAAACCCCAACTCCTCTTTCACGCAATGTTCATTCGTTGGTTGAGTCGGTGGCTATGGAGCTGTGGATGAGCACAGGCCCCACAGGCAACGAGTGAGCTCACTGCCCTTATTCTGCTCACCTCCTGCCTCAGGGCTCACCTGGGGCAGCCAGGTCTGAGCCTGCGCCAGGCTTTGTGCTTCACCCCTACCATGGCACAGAGATGGATTGACAAGGTGGCGGGCATGAGCATAAGAGCTGGGAGGGTGGCGCAGGACCAGGCAGTGTGCCTGCTGTGCCGTGCAAACAGGAGGAGGGCGCCCTGAGTCCTCAATGGCACCTGGCGGTCACCAGGGCTGCAACATCACAGTCATCACAGAGGTCCTGTGGTCCAGTGAGCCAATCCAATCCAATCCCGGCACACGCAAAATTCTTGCTAGAAATACATCCCTACTGCTCTGAGCACTTGTCCAAGGACATGGGGGAACTGTCACATGCAGGACAGCAGTTGGGTTGCAGGGGTTGTGGGGGGCCCCTGACCACCTCCTGTCCCTTCAGGAAAGGCAGTCAGTCACACCCTAGTCCCCTCTGTTCTGTTGCTGGGTAACCACTGTAGGAACAGATGGGCTGAGGCTTGGTCTCCTGAGCCACACCTGTTGCTAGAGGAAGACAGGAGAAGGAAGCAGAGGAGAGCGCTGAGGGCATCCTGCTACCACCCTGTCCTGTGTGTGCAGATGCCCTTCTCCTGGGGGTGGGGTGGGGGGACACAGCAAGAGGGTGGGTGCTGCTGCTTGGGCTGGTGTGGGGGCTGAGCTAGGTGGGGAGAGTGGGGCAGGCCGCCCCGCTGGACTAATTGCCTACACCCAGATCCACCCTGGGAGGGTACTCTGCCGACAGCCTCCTGGACACTGTGTGGCTGACCCCTCAGCAGCTATGGGGGTTCCTGAAAGCCTGTGGTCACTCCCTAACCATGGGCTCTCAAGGCCTGGAGCTTGTGCCGGTCTCTCCCAAATGCCTCCTGCTGAGGCTGCTAGGCAGAGAGCTCCTCATTCTGATAAAAGGGAACAAACTGCTCCCCGATGCTTCAGAAAAGCTCTCCATAGCTTAGGGCCATGCCCAACTCCAGAGCTGAAACCACCCCCCCCACACACACACACTACTGCCATCTTGAAACTTGAAACCCAAAGTCATTCTCCCGGCTTCGTGCGGGAGAAAGTCAGGGCTGTCCACTCTCATAAAGAGTCACAGTCTCAGAAACCCACAGGGGCAGTGCCACCCTGTCCCATAAGGTCACCATGAGCCAGTATCCACTTGGTGGCAGTGACAAATTAGTCACACCTAAAGTTAAGCAGTCCCTGCCTTGAGCACCGTGCTCTTTTCAGCGGCATCTCTTCTGGGGGGTCAAGTTCACAACAGCAGCTTGGGAACAGTGAGTTTATGTGACTGGAGGGAGGAAACTCGAAAGGGGGGTAGGCGGAGAATGGCTGTGTAACGAAGGAGGTAGTCGGGGCCACTGAATTGCCCGTGTAGAAGTTGTTGAATTGGTGTTTGTTCCGTGGTGTCTGGTCTCAACAAAAACATAACTGCGGGAAGCCAGGAGTTCCAAGGCGTGGCGCTCTTGGTGGAGTGAGGGCTGAGGAAGGTCAGGCCTCCCTGGCCCCTCCGATTCCTCCTGCCCGGGCCTGGGCCTGAGTCCTCCGTGCCTTCTTCCAGCCCCTCTTCCAGAAAGGAAGGTGCCAGCAGCCCTGGGAGTCCCAGGGACATGGAGACAGTTTCCCTCTCCAGGACCCAGCTGGTCACCTCTACCAAGGATGGGGACATCAAAGACATGCTCCTACGTGACCGGGAAGCCTCCAGCACCGAGCCCCTCCCCTTGGACTCCCCCAAGGAGGACTCTCGCTTAATCAGGTAACCTCCTAACCCTCACTCCTGCATTTGATCAGCCAAAGCCAGAGTGTGCTTCTCAACACGCAAGAGTGCCTGCAGAGAGGAGAACGAAAGTAAAGACGGCGCCAGCCGCCCCACAGGAGAAAGCCGGCTGTCCGCTCCCGTCAGGATTCCAGCCTAGGAAACCCTATGGGGCAGTTCCTTCTACTCCATCCTAGTCGGAACCGCGACGGCAGCCAGGAGGCAGAGAAGAGGCCAGGACTGGGGGTACCATCCCAAGAGAAGAGATAGGATAGCGTTTAGACATACAAGAGGGTCCCACCTCAGGATGTAGACATGAAACATGGAAAGATACATACTTAAACATGGGATCTTTCTATGCACAGCAAGCAGCAAAGGTTTAAGGAATTAAATTTACTTATTTAACAGTAAATAGCATTGAAAAGGCACACAATTCTCAATATGTGAAAGAGTGCAAAACACCCCCCCCCCCCACCAGTATCTTCCAGTCATCTCATTCCCCTCCCTGGAGAGAGAGGCAGTGGGTATGTGGGTCTCTGGTCACATACGTAAGCATGTTGGATGCATCGATGATGAAAGTGACACAAGCGAGACATCGTCCAGCCTGCCTTAGGGAAAGGGTTAAGTGAGTTGGCCCTTGGAACGTGCAGGGATGTGCACGACAGCTTTGTTTCCCAGCCTGGAACATTTGTACTCACAAGAGGAGTTAAATGAACTGTATAGCAAACACACATACAAGGGGGTATGCCCCCCCAAACTGGATCCCCCCCCCCCAAAGCTATGCATTTAAACAAGTCCCTTCTTGGAAACATTTTTCAAACTTACGTTTGGATGGCTGACAGCACCGCCCTTAGAATTTTTCTTCACCTCTTCTGGTCATCAAATCGCTGTCCTTTCACGTCCCTCTTCATTCACAGAAACAAAAAGAAGTCACATGGAGTGAGGTCAGGTGCGTGGGGCAGGAGAGGCATGCTGTTTTGCCAAAAACTGGCACACTGAGATGGCTACACAAGTAGGTGCACTGTCATGGTGGCAAAACCAGTCCCCCGTCTGCCACAAATCAGGCCATTTTTTTTTCCAGGCCTTTTTTGTTGCACACTGTCACACAATCTTTTCAGAACCTCTACATAGAAGCTTGATTAACAGTCTGACCTGGTGGAACGAACTCCAAATGCACTATGTGTCGGCATTTTCGTCCGACATGTCACCCTTTTTTTGAAACAAGAAAACCACCCGTACACTTGAGTTTTTCCCATAGCACTGTCCTTGTAAAACTTTGTTCAACATCGCAACAGTTTCTGCAGCATTTTTCCTGAGCAGGAAACCAAATTGCACAGCTGCACGCTGTTCCCTTCAACCGGCCACCACAAAAGCAACACTGCGTTTATGGAGAAACTGACTGTGACCAGAGGGAACTTTCCCAGGCAATGCCACTGGGTGCACTCACTCAGGGCACGTTGCTCGCCAGCTCGCCTGGCTGGAAAAATGCACACTATGGACAGCTCACTCCGCCAGCACAGTTCCGTTCTCTGGGGGTACCCCTCCGTACGCCAAACACCTGCTCGATTTTATCATTGACATCCTCCTACACATTCTCCAGGAGCCCCAGGTTATGCAGACAAGCTGAAAGGTCTGCCTCCCCAGAGGTCCCTCAGAAGAAACACCTGGAAATCCACTTCTGAAAAGTCAGCCACGGGAAACCTGAGGGGCACAGTTGCCCTGTCCCGTGACACACGGGGTTGTCATGAATTGGGGTGGGTGGGATTGGTTCTGTACTTGCTGCATCCTATTTCTCCCCCCTGCCATCCACCTATGTCATTTGGGAAGCGGGGGTCATTCAACCATCTTCTTTAACACTTTAAAGTTCATTGTAAACAACAAGCCATTCCCCCACCCTCCGGTCCCAGTACTTTATCCTACATCTTATGAACTAGAGTGCTCAAAGAGTTTCTAAGAGCATGAATGAAACTTTCTGTGCGGAAAAAAAAAGTTAAGATGCAAAGTTACATATACCGCATGGCCTCAACTATTTAAAAACATACTGATGATTCCTGGAAGGAGACATGCTGAAGGGTGTGGAAAGCAGGTAGTGAGGGGCTCTTGTTTTATCCTGTTTTCTGCCCCACACACTGTTCCTGCTTTCTTGGTGGACTGCCGTGGGCCTGTGTTCCTTTGTGTGCCAAGTCAGATGGAGATAAGGAAATGATTCCAAAACAATTCAGCTCCCATCTGGGGGAGGAGGTGCCCAGGACTGTGGCCTGCTGCCCACAGGAGCCCCGGAGAAGGCAGGTGAAGTGCCAGGTGGCCCCAAGGCAAGCCACCCATGCCTGCTTCTTCCTCGGTCTACAGGCCCAGCACCCCGCCCTCCAAGCCCATAGCCTTCGAGGAGTTTAAGAACGAGCGAGGTAGTGAGATCAACCGCATCTTCAAAGAGAACAAAGCCATCCTGAATGAGCGGAGCAAAAGGGCCAGCGAGACCACACAGCGTATCAATGCCATCAAGCAAGAGATTGACGTGACCAAGGAAGCACTAGATTTCCAGAAGTCACTACGAGAGAAGCAAGGTGAATGTGATGGGGTGGAGGTGGGGTGGTGGTGGAGGGAGGGTGGCGGCAAGGGCTCTGTGGGATGTTTGAGTCATACTGCCCCAATGGGGTACCAAGATGGGTGAGAGAGTCAGCAGGCACCAGGGGGTAGCCTTCACCCATGGGTCCCCATCTCACTTGGCTCTGGTCCAATTTTGAAGACTCACAGAACCCCTTTCCAGCAGCCAGCCTCTGCCTGTGGGTCCCCTATCATGGCATTATCTCAGTCCTAGGCCTGCTGGGTACTCCTGTCCTTGGAGAAACAGCCCCTTGATCCTGCAGTTTTCCTCAGGGAGATGGGTAGCTGGTGACCACACACACACTCTCTCTCTCTCTCTCTCAGAGTCCCAGGGAGTTCACCCTTACCTGAGCCCTGGTGTGGTCTCCTCACTGCTTGTGGTAGTCAGCCTGGGCTGGGAAGCTGCCCTGGACCATCAGAGTCTGAAGAAGAAAAGGAGAATGTAGCTATGAAAGGGCCAAGGTTTCACTGGCACCCAAACACATCCCTCGTTCTAAGCATAAAGGATAGGGCTGTGCATGGTGGGCCCCCAGGCTCAGAGATCAGGGAGCCCTGCGTGTGGAGCTCAACTGATTGTCCTCATCCCAGGGGCAGGCCCAGCCTGCACAGGATGCATCCGAGTCCCAGACCCTGCTGACCAGTGGTTCTGATTCGGCAACCTGCAGTCGGACCCACAATGTCAGGGGGTGGGGGTGAGATGCAACACCCTGACTGGGTCACAGAGCTGGTGCAATGGAAGGGGCAAGTCCCTGGGCGTGGCCTGCGCCGCATTTTATCTTACAAGAGAAAAAAGCAGGCAGGAGCGAGCAGAGAAAGACGGCCTCAGCTCCAACATGAAAGAAAAGCTGGGAACAAAACCCATCCTCTGGACCTAGGTCCCTGTGCTGAGAACCGCCTAGACCAGGAAATGCCGGGACCACAGACGTTGAAAGGAGATGAGCAGGCAGAGAGAGAATGCCTTTTCCTAGAGTTGGCCTGCTGCATCCAGACTTCTAATCTTGGGAACTTTGGGAAAAATGAAAGTCTGTTCTGTAAAGTGACCCACTTGTGATATTTCTGTTATGGCAGCTTTAGAGAGCTAAGACGGTGCAAAGTCAAGATCAGTGTGATGACACCATCTCTACCCTTTCCTCCACTCAGCCCTCCCTCTTGTCCTAAGGGCCCATGTGAACCCTTCGATCTGAGACTCCAAACCTGTGAGGCAGGTGTCCTGGATGCCTGGCCTCCCTGTGGGCACTGTGCTCCGCTCCACACCCTTCCCCGCCCCGCCCTTCTTCTGAGCTGCTCTCTCCTCGCTTTGCCAGCACTATGGGATCTTCCCACAATGCCTTCCTCCACCCACCCCAGAGGAGCAGCTCTTCACTGACTCCCTGATCTCCTCTGTCTCCCCTCAGGTGACTATGAGAACAAGGGGCTGATGATCATCAATGAGGAGGAATTCCTGCTGATTCTGAAGCTCAAAGACCTCAAGAAGCAGTACCGCAACGAGTACCAGGAACTGCGCGACCTCAGGGCTGAGATCCAGTACTGCCAGCATCTGGTGGATCAGAGTCGCCACCGCCTGCTCACAGGTGCCCCAGTTGGGGAGGGTGCCCGACCACAGGAGGCCCTGGGAGGTACTGGGCAGGGCCACAGCCGGGTTCTGGGAGTGACTTCAGAGTCACCCCCCTGGCAGAAGCTGGAGTCAGGCAGCGGCTTCAGATGCGTGCCTTCCAGGACAAGTTAGAACTGGAGACACAGATGGGGACAGGGTGAGACTTTTCAGGCAGCAAGAGAGCCAGGATGAGCCAGGGACAAACAGCAGACAGACAGGCAGGCAGGTATGTGTACACAACATGTACTGGCTGCCTCAGAAGCTCCCTTCTCCTCGCAGAATTTGACATCTGGTACAACGAGTCCTTCATCATCCCTGAGGAATTGCAGGTGCCCCTGAAGCAGCACGGCAGCATCCGGCCAGGCATGGTGCCTATCAACAGGATCATGTCTCTGGTGAGCCGGGCAGGGGCCATGGATGAGCCGTGGCAGTGAGCAATGCCCCTCAGCCTCTGTGCTCTCCCTGCACACAGATACGTGGTGTCTCAGCCTCTCTCAGGCAGGGGGCAGGTACAGCCCTCTCCCCAGCTACCAAGCAGCGGGGGGAATTGCAGACAGCACCCTCGCTGCTGGCACCCTTCTGGGGTGGCTCACCCTGCCTACGGGACAGTGACAGGGTATCTCTGGGGATGGGAAAATACAGGGCTCCAGAAGGTTGTCCCTTGCCCTGAGCAGCAGGTGAGAGAGAAGTTCTGGCCAGGCTGAAGGGACTGTGGTCGGTGTGGGCCTCCCCAGGGAGAAGATGACCAGGACAGATTCATCCAGCTGCAGCAGACAGTGCTGCCCGAGGGCCCTGACTCCATCTTCTTCTACAATGCCAAAGTCAAGATCGAGCAGAAGGTAACCACCACTTAGTGAAGAGACTCTTCTTCCCCGCCACATGGCCTTAGCACCTTTGTCAAAAATCCGTTGACTATAGATGTGTGGATCTACTTCTGGAGTCTTAATCCTGTTCCATCAGTCGATGTGGCTATTGTGGTACCAGTACCAGCCTGTTTGAATTACTGTAGCTCTAGAGTCTATTTCAAAATCAGAACATGTGAGTCCAGCAAGCATATTAGCTATTTGGAGGATTTTTCTGGTTTCTGTGTCTGTAAATTCATGTATCTCCATTATTCGTGCGGGCTCAGGTTCCAATGGACTCCATCTCTAGGAGTCCCAAGTGCCTAAACAGAGAGTTCCAGTTTGCTTCTGCAGGCCGCCTGCAGCACTCCCAATGCAGCACATTCCAACACCCTCAACGGTTCCAGCTTAGTGAGGCCGCTTCACTTTGAGCTTATCAGGAATGTAGGGCTCCACTGCACATTACAGGCTGCTTTGGGCGTGTGTTTGCTTACTGCTCACCTGTGTGTTTCAGCTTGCTTTGGTCACCTGCTTCCCAAGAACCTAGTAGTGCATTCTTAGTGTAGGTTTGTGAACACCTAGAGGGAGGGGCTTTCAGAGCATCTTCACTACACACACACACACACACACACACACACACACACACACGCACGCACGCACGCGCGCGCCAGCTCACCCCCACCCCCTGACACTGTGGGTCCGACTTCAGGTTGCCGAATCAGAACCACTGGTCAGCAGGTCTGGGACTCGGATGCAGGCTCCGGCCGGGCACAGTCAGTTAGGGCCTGCCCCTGGGATGAGGACAATCAGTTGAGCTCCGCATGCAGGGCTCCCTGATCTCTGAGCCTGGAGGCCCAGGCTTGTCTTTCTTGAATTGAATTCACCTAAATCTTGCCAGAACCTTCAAGTGGGTCCTTGAAACACACATGCCTCCTTTTAAAGACGCCTGCCAGAGTCACACAGAAGGCATTGTAAAACCCTCTCTTTTAGATGAGGTGAGGAAAGGGATCAGACAGAATGGTGTTTGTCACAGAACCAGGACTAGTTAGAAGGAACCCCTCTCGGGAAGGATGATGAGGTGGACATGGGCATGGTTCTGAGCCTTTGCAACGTCCACACCTCCTGACCAACTCCTGCGTTCTCTCCTTCTCTCTGTTCAGAACAATTACTTGAAAACCACCATGGGCCTGCAGAGGAAATAGTGTCAAGACCCCCAGCAAGCCCAACCTGCTCTAGTGGAGCTGCTGAATCATCTGCCCAGAGCTCCAGCCACCTTGCCCAAGGCCAGAACCTAGCTGAGCGAATTCACACCAGCCTGCCTGCTTGCCTGCCTGCCTGGAGCACCCTCCACAGCTAGACATCCCTGCTCACCTCGACAGATCACTGTGGGTCTCCTGCTCTGCCTTACATGCAGAGACAAGATAGAGCAACTTGCCAGTTTGGACTTATAGTGCTTATCCAAGGGAATGGTTTCCTCTTCCATCTGGGAGGACATGTCCTCTGTGGACATTGGGGGGTCAAAGCTGGGTTGTGAGGAGCACAGTAAAAACGTGGCCTCGCCACGCTCCTCCAAAGAGCTCTGTCTCACTGGCCGGCCTCTTTCCTCTCCTGCAGGGTGTCTCAGGTTCTCACAGCTCCCTCAGACCACGAGGCTTCACAGGGCATCCTTCCTGTGCCCCTGAGCCAGCGAAGGCAGGAGGTGGCCCTCCTTCCTCAGCACCTGGGAGAAGACTGGGGTCAGTCACTATCCTCAAAAAAGGATGGGGGCATCACTGGGTTCACTGTACCAGCGAATATGTGTGTGTGTGTGTGTGTGTGTGTGTGTGTGTGTGTGTGTACGTACACTGCAGAGAAGCACAAGTGAACGTGGCCACTGTGCCCTGGAGAGGAGTGGGGTTCACTGTGAGGGTTGAGCAGGGGCAGGAAGATGATCCTCTCTAGTCACGTCCTCAGGTTGTAGTCTGGTGCCCTTAGTGGTTATACGGAAGGGAGAGAGTTCGCCGCCCTGCCCTACCTTCAGCCTCTCTGAGGGCTTCCAGGCTGACACCCTGTTCCTGGGCTGGGAAACTGGGTTTCCACTAGGTGAAAAGTTTCAAAGCTTCTTCAGAATCTCCTCACATCAATCTATTCAGGGCTGTTGGGGTCTTGGCCTTGTTCTCTGTGAGCACTCCTGGCATCGGATACCACCTCAGCAAGTCCTTGATGCTGCCGGGCTGGGAGCCAACGGAAAAAGGGTCCAGGCCACCAGCGTCAGGTTGGCTTCTCTACAGAAGCAAAAACATGACGCTTGTATGTATGCACAGAGAAGAGATTCGTGTCCAGAAGTGGCTCACACAGTTGTTGTCGAAATAGGTAAGCCTAGACCAGTCCGAGGCAGCTGCCTGACTCGTGGAAGCTGACCAATAGGAAGCCAACTGATGGAGCAGACACAGAGGAGGACACAGGTTGGTAGGTGCGAGGTGATACGAATCCGTCGACTGAGTGGCTCCATCGTCAGTAGTCTTTAGACAGCTCCTGGGCTCATCAAGTGACACAACAGGAGATCAAGGAACCAGAGGCAAGATTCAGCTCCAGCCGAAGGCCAAGCGCCCAAGAAAATGCAATTCTGCTGCGTCCCCCTCTCTCATACAAAAGGCCAGACCCAAAGAAGTTCCGTAAGGATGGATAGGTTGGGCTTCACGCCTATCATTACCCAGCAATGTCTAGTTGACATAGTCCCCTGTAACCATCACCCTACCCCCACCATTGGGTGCTATGAAATAACCCAGTCCACGTCTGGTGGGCAGTAGCTGGCACTGGGCCACTTTATGCTAGGAAATTTGAAGCAACCAGCTCTTAGCTGGAGAGGGAGGAGAATGTGCCAGAGGCCTAGGTGGGCTTGCCAGGTGGCAGGGAACAAAGGGAATTTGATTTGCATGGTCCCTGCATGCAGATGTAGAGGAGCAGGAGCAGATGTTCCAAAACTGGTTCTCAACCTGTGGGTCGCGACCCCTCTGGGGGTTTACCGACCCTTTCATAGGGGTCGCCCGATTCATAACAGCAAAATTACAGTGATGAAGTAGCAACGAAAATACGTTTATGGTTGGGGGTTCCTCATCACATGAGGAACTGTATTAAAGGGTCGCGGCATTAGGAAGGTGGAGAACCACTGTCCTAAAAAGTAGAAATAGCTGAATGGCAGACTGATCTCATAATACAAAGAGGCTTACCATGGGAGCATCCCAGCCATGGAGTTAGCAGGGTGAGCTGCACCGCTGCTGGCTGTCTGGCCAGCAGGCTGCCCCCAGTGGAAGGTTGACTGAGGGCATCCAGCCAACCAGAGATGCGTGCTTCATTCCTGGACCCAAGGGTTTTTGTGAGAGAAAGCAGCATGGCGTTGCTTGAGGACTCTTCTCTCCTCTTCCCTCAGCTTCCTCTCTCCCACTGGCTGACACATGATGATCCTGAAAAGGCTTTCAGACCCCTGCTAGGTCCCCGTGCACCTCTGAAAGTCCCCAACTTCATTTCCCCAGGTGACACACAGTGACTCACTGACCTGCACTGATAGGGTGCACACGGCCTTGTTGGTCAGTCTTGGTGCTCATTGATTGTGGCCAAGCAGGCCGGTCTGTCCCGGCCTCTCCTACCTTCCCAGTCATGGAGACCTTAGGCGGAAGGGTTCTGATTCCTTCCCTTTTGGTCCCCACCTTTACAAGGAATTCCTAGGTCTTCAGGGCCACCTCAGGAGACCACACACAAACAGGAAGGTCTCTTCTTATTGGGGTCATAGGAAGCAGCTGTTTGTGGTATCACAGCCCCCATTCCCTAGGGTCTGTTGTCCAGGGAAAGCTGGACCTCAGTAATGGAAGTTAGTCCTGGCCGCTGTCACAGCTTATTCAAGATGGGCCAAGCCACGAGAATACACAAGCTGACCCTTGGTACATCCCCTCCACCTAAACCCATCTCAGGAGCAGATGCTACCAACACGACAAGGAGGTAGGAGCCACTGTGTCCACTCAGTGGCCTGTGGTTCCCAGAGATCATCCCTGGTGAGCCACTCTGACCACCCAAAATCACCTTACAGGACTTCTGATTCCATCAAGGTGACCCGGGAGTGGGAGGGGAGACTGATAATACCCCCTGCAATCACTTAGAGATGCTGTAATGCAAAGATAAATTTACCAGAAAGAAAGGACCTTATAGGAGCTGATAAAAAGAGATCATGAAAATCAGAGTGGTTAGCACAGGAGCTGGCTGAGACGGCTAAGGAGGAGAAGAAATATGTCTCCATGGGTATGAGAAATGACACTTTGCCCCACGCCAGGTCAGAAACTGGAAAGGGGACACTCGCCCTAACGCTGTAAGGAGCCCTCGTGTAGTGGGTTATACCTTGAGCTGCTAAACACAGGTCAGGGGTGCCAACCCACCTGCTGCTCTGTGGGAGAAAGATGAACCTTTCTGCCCCCGAAAAGATCTACAGCCCCAGGACCCCAAAGGGGCCATGCAATGCTGTCCTCCAGGGTTCCCAGTCTGAATCAACTTGATGGTTGGCTTGGAGTGGGTCCGTAGAGCAGGTACTCGGTACTCGAAGGTTTCCTCCTGGGTGGTGAAGGGAGCTAGCTAACGAGCTGCTCTTGAGTCACTTCGAACGCATGCCGACCCCCTGGACAACAGGAGGGCACAGGGCCTGATTGTGTGTCACCCTCATGACACCTGGCATGTTCCAGTCTGTTGTTGGAAGCTGTGGTGTCAGTCCCTCTCACTAAGGTTTTCCCTCGAGCTTCACCAAACATGATGTCCTCCTCTGGGAACTGGTTCTTCCGAATGATGTGTCCAAAACAAACAAGGCAGACAGTTCTGTCATGGTCATGTGTTCCCAGACAACTTTTGGAAATAGATTGCCAGGCCTTTCTGCCTAATCTATTTTGGTCTGGAAGCTCCACTGAAATCCATGCACCGTGGTTTAACTCTACTTACATTTGAAACATCTCAGAAACATACAAGCCACCAGAGTATAATAAACTGACATGTGGTGGGAGGGATAGCAAGGTAGCTTCCTCCAAGGTAAGAAGAGAAAGTTCCCCGTGAATCAGCAGCACTGCACAGGTTTGGGGTCCAAATTTACTCTGTCGTCCAGGAAGCATCAGACTGAGGAATAAAATAAGCATAGAAATTAGCCCCAGGCTGGTAATAACACTGGGACATCTAGTAGAATTTAGAAACCTACACCTGCCCTTCATCCAGCCACACCACTTTCCTGGTTAACATGAACTCAAAATCCAGAGGTTGAAACACACATATGAAGACACACACACACACACACACACACACACACACACACACACACACACGGAAACTATAGTGGAGAGTCAGCAGACACATGGAAGCAGGACTGGATAGCAAATTATTTGATAGAAGATTTATACAATGTAGATGTATGTCTTTAAAAGCAGAAGTAGGAATAAAAAAATATGAAGATCTATTTTTTTTCAAAGGATCTATTTAAAGGCTGCAGTTGTTTTTTTTAAAAGCAGAACTAAGAATGGGGGTGGTGGTGGTGGAATGTAGTTCTGAAAAAGGGAAATAACAGAGCGTGAGAGAGAATTAATGACCTGGAGATTGGGTGTGAGGAAATTGCCTCAAACACAGCATAAAGAAATAAGGAATGGGAAGCTGAAAGTAGAATGAGAAGATTCAATATATGGGGACATCCAAAGATCCAGAAGGCAGATTGTGAGCCCACTGTGCGGGTGACGTCATCCACTCTCAGAGCTTTAAATGCCATCCACAGGTTGGCTCCCAGTTTTACATATCCCCATGCATACTGCTCTCTGGAATTCCAAACTCATCTGACCAACCACTATCTCCCCTTGACATCTCCACTTGCATGTCTCATAGCTACAAATCAGTAGTTCAAATCTACATACTTAACTGTTCTCCCATTTTTAACTGTTCTTTCTCATTTCAAAACCCTTAGTGTTATCCTTGATTCCTCCCCCTCTCCCACCACTTCTCTTACAATCTATCAGGGAACCCACTGGGCTTGACCTTCTAATTATATCCAAACTCTGACCGCTTCTCACCACCACTGCTGCTCCTACTGAGCTAACATCCTCTCTTGCCTAGTTACTGTAATTGCTTCCTAACTTCCTCTGCGTTTCCCTGGCGCCCTCATAGCCTATTTCCAACACGGCTCCTAGGTGGATTGTTTCAAAATATAAGATCACCACACACCTCAAACCTCCAGTGGCTTCCCTTCTCGGAAGGAAACTGAGGTCTTTAAAACAGCTTACAGACCCTACATCTTTGTCTCCTGTGACTTCTCCACTCTCCTTTCCTCCGCTCTCCCACTTGTTCACTCTGCTCCAGCCACAGCGAACCCTTGTTCTTTCTGGAGCACCAGGCAGCTCCCGCCCCAGGGTCTGTATTTGGCTGCTCCCTCTCCCTGAGACATTCTTGCTCCAGTGTCCGGTTTTCACATGCATAAGGCCATGGCTTGGGTCAGGTCACCTTATTCCTCAAAGGCCTTGCTTTTCAGCAGGTTAAAGAGGCCTTTGTGCAGCAGATTTACCCAATGGCATGTGCAATGACGTATCT